TTCAAAATTTAATTAATATTTAGAATTTTTTATATTAAATAAAAAATAATTTAAACTAATTATTTATATTATTATTATGTACTTTTATTTAATAATTAATACAAATATATTATTATATTTAATAAAAATATATTAAAGATTAAATTAGTAATTATTACAAAATTAAGTTTTAAAGCTTAAAATTAAATTATTTATTATATATATTTTATAATAATTTTAATTAAGTTTTATATTAATATTTATAAAATAAAAATTCAAAAATTTATTACTAATAAAAATTTTTTATAAAATATATAATTAAAATTTATATTTATATTTAAAATAAATTCTAATATCTAATAACTTAATTAAATAAGACTAAATTAAAATTTTAGTGTAAAAAATAATTTATTTGATTTTGTATCAGATTATAATAATTAATAATTTTGTTAAATTATTATAAAAAATATAAAAAATTTTTGTAATAATTTTGTAATTAAAATAACTTTGTTAAAAAAACTTTAAAAATTTATATTTATAATTTTTATTAGTAAATTTAAAAATTTTATATAATACAAAAATTTTAATTTATTTTATTTATAATATTATATATATATATTTATAATTCTATTAGCTATTATATATAAAAAAATTAATTTTATATTTTAATTATAAAATAATTTTGTAGTAATTTTGCAATTATTTAAAAAATCTAAATAATTCAAAAAAAATTACAATTTATAATAGTCTTTATTTTGTTAATTACTATATTTAATTATAAATAATAATATAATTTTAAATTAAAAATTAGTAATATTGAGTTTAATTATAAAATAATTAGAGTAATATTAAAATTAAAGTATAAAAATAAAATTAATTATATTTTAAAATATTATATATTAATATTAATTAATATATTAACAATTTTATTTATATAAAAAAATGTATTATTAATTAATAAAAAAATATTTTTTATAATATATTTTGAAATTAAATTTGTATAAAAAATTATTTTAAATATTTATATTTATATAATTTTATTTTAATTATAGTTAATAATAAATTTTTTAATATTTTAAATTATATAGAAATTTTTAAATTGTGAATAAAAAACTTTTTTAATATTATTTATATTTATTATTAATATAAATTATAATATAATTTTTGCTTTTTTTATTTTTAACAATAAGTTTAATAGTTAAAATATATAAAGATTCAAGTTAATAATACAAAATTTTTTAATATTTCAAATTTTTAAATTTGTAAATAAAAAATAAAAATTTTCTTATATTATTAATATAATTATAATAATTTTTTGCTTTTTTTAATTTTAGTAATAAGTTTATAATTAAATTATATAAAAATTCAAATTAATAATATAATTTAGTTTTATTATAATTAAAAATATTATTAAAAATAACTTTAAATAATATTATAAATTATTTTTTAATAATTTGAAAAATTAGATAATAATATATTATCAAATTTTTAATATTATTTATATTTTTTTTAGTTTTATAATAAATTTTAAAATTATTTAATTAATATTATAAATTTTGAAATATTTAATTATTAATATATTATTAATAGTTATTATATAAGATATTTAATTTGTTTAAAAAATAAAAAAATTATAATTAAATTAATTATTAATTATTAATTATTTTGTTATTTAATAAAAATTTACAATTATTAATATAATAATATTTTCAAATTTATAATTAATTTTCAAAATAAATCTTGATTTATTTTATTTTTGAAAAAAATAAATATTTTTTTATTTATTATTTATTTATCAGAAAATTCAATATAAAAATTTTATTAATAAAAATTTTATTATATTAAAATTTAATTTTTATTATATTAAATATTTTATTAAGTATATTTATTTATTTAAAATAGAAATTTTAACAATATTTTATATTAAAATTTATTATATAAAATTTAATTTTAATATTAATAGAACAAAACTAATAAAATTAATTTATAATAATAAAGTTAAAATACAAAATAAAGATAAATTTATTTAAAATAAAGAATTTTTATTAAAATTTATTTAGAATAGAGTTTTTTATTACTTTATATAATTTAAAGTTAATTAAGTAAAAAAATATTGTTAACAAATAAATTTAATTTATAAATTGATATTTTATTAATTAAAGCATGAGCTTTTTTTAATAAAGAGAAATTTTTTTTATATAAATTTATATACTATACTAATTATATAAATTTGTATTATTATAAATATTAAATTAATATTAAATCTATTAGAATTACTAATAATAATTTTGTACAAGTTTTAAATTAATATTAAATTTGTTAAAGAGATAATATTTCATATTAAATAAATATTAAACTATACAAACAAGTTTAAATAAAGAAATTAATATTAAACAAAATATTATAAATATAAAACTATTACAAAGAAAATGTTAAAAAGGTATTAGATTTTACATGTTATATTGAATTAGTATTAAGATTATATAATAAAATAATTATATAAAGTATAATATATTAAAAATTATGGAATTAAAGAATTTATATTGCTATAACAAAACTAGTCTTTAGAAATAAATATAAAACAATAATAAATAAAATAATAATATAGTATATTAATTATAATACAGGAACTCTTAAATTGACAATATGTTTCATGTTAAAAATTTTTTAACTAAGAGGTAAATTCAAAATTTGACTAATAATATTATCAATAAAGTTCTTTTCTATAATATTACCAATTAAATTTTAGATTTATTCCTTAGGTAAGAAATTGATAGAATTTTTAACATGAACCATATTGTCAACTTAAGAGTGTCTGCACTATAGTTATAAGGAACAAAAAGTTTTTTCTGTTAGAAATTTCATTCTCCAAAATTTATATTATCAATTTTTATGTAATTCAAAATAACATTTTGATTTTAGAAGTTTTATAAAACATGTAACATTTAAAGATTTTTTAGTCATGTTTTGTATGTTTGAACAAATATACAGATACTATGATTCTGCAGTATAATGAATTCACATTATGATAAAGCTTTTAAATCCACTTGAAAAGCACTTGATATAGTAGTTACAGTACTCATCAAAAATCCTTAATTTTTCATAGATCATGTGTAATGTACCAAAATTTTTCAAGCACAAAGAACACTACAAGTGCTGATCGTTGATATCTTTTATAGATTGTTAAAGCTTTTATATCGGGTGTTATATGTACATGTATAATCAGTTATTTCATAACACATATCTGAATATTCAATAATCAATTCGTCCAGTCAAGGTGAATCAAATGGTAGTATTTTTGTTCAAATCAGATCAGATCGCTGGTCGTCAAAATATTATGTCTTAAAGTAGCAGATTCTTTTTTTTTTGGAGTTAATCAGCCAATTTATCTCGATCTCCAGTGATCTGATTTAAACAAAAATAATACCATCCGATTTTGTCTTGACTAGACAAATCAAATGGCATTACTTTATTCAAATTGGATCACTGGAAATCAAGATATACATCATAAATTGATCAATTCATTTTTTTGGCAATTAATTTCTAATAATATCTCGACGTCTAGTGATCCAATTTGAGTGAAAATACTACCATCCGATTTTTCTAATTTAGGCAAATCGGATCACTAGACGTCGAGATATTATGTCTTAAAGTGAACGATTCATTGTATTTGGGAAAGTTCATGAACATATAATGCGCAATATAGAAGCTTTACCAAGTATCAACGATCAGCATTTGTAATTTCCTTTGTGCTCGGAAAATTTTGGTACATTACACATGATCTATGGATAGTTAAGGGGGGTACGTTACTTCTGACGAGCACTGTATAAGATACGTACACAGTAAAGTCCGGCTTAATGAAGGACCAGTTGAGCGAAGATTGCATAAGTGTAAAGTTTTTTAAAACTAGTGCATTATAAAAATGCACAATTTAATGAAGCACATGTACTTTAAGTAATATTCTCTATAACGTATAGCGAAGTTTATTGTGCTCTTCATTAACACGCGATTTATTTACGACGATAATAATTTCTTTGCTCATTTCATTGTTGATAATCAGGTTGCACAAACATCACGCAATTTAATAACGATGAAGATTTTTTAATTAGCTTATATATATCTCACGTGATAATACTCTGGAATAACGTTGATTGATTTGATATTTTTTCGGTATACGTATATGTATATAGTTCATACCAATACAGTGTATCGCCGCATAACAGAAAATATTACTGTTTCACTTCAATTAAGGTTGTTACAATTAAATTTATTTAAATATTATGGCAGCCAAATACATGTACACAGATAATATCGATAACGATAACCAATTAGACTGAACACACACTTACACTTGCTGGAAAGTTTGCTACATTATTTGTTCGGTCACTTGAATTGGAAATTACTATTATAAGAAATGATCAGAGAAGTGTGTTTCGGAATTTTATCAATTTCGTTCTCGTGATTGGCGAAGTGAAGCCATAATTCCTATCGGAGAAGTTTTGCCAGCCAAAAATCCGTAATGATTTTTCTTTACGTCGATTATCCAATTGATTCGGGTAAACAATATCAGATATTGTACTCAACATCAATGAAATTTGAGCCGTAACTATGCTTTATCGTTATGATGCAACTACGTAATTACTTATCGCAAAGCAATCTACGAATTTTGTATAAATAAACATATCGATATGGTTTCTTGGATGCATTGTTTCGTTAATGATGAAGTTTTGAATTAATATCATAATATTCGAACTTCGAGTGTTTGATCTCATATAATTAACAACAATAGTCAAATAGAAAAAAATAATATAAAAAAAAGATAAAAATGAATGATCTTACAGAGAAACAGCTAAATCATGCTGAGTTTGCTTCCGATACGATTGAACTCGAAAAAAAATCAGCTTCGCAAAAGAAGGCAAGTTTATTATCTTGATTCAAAATGAATTTTATATTATCTGGATCCAAATAATTTTTTACGCGCTCTGTAACATATTGAATAGATCGTAATATCTACGACGTTAATGTTGGCATTTCAATCACTTGGTAATATTGTAAAGGGAAGATGTATATTATGATCTTCTTAATTAAAATAAATGTCTTAATTGAATTATATAGGCATAGTCTATGGTGATATCGGCACGTCTCCACTTTATGTGTTCACAGGTATCTTTGATATCTTTGGTACTCCAACGGACTCACGTGATGTTATTGGTATGTATTACCTGTTGTCGGACATATAGCTGAAGTAATAATTGACGCATTAAAATTATATTAACAGGAATTCTTTCCATGATTATATGGTCATTGTAAGAGAGCCATGATTCTTTTTATTGGTCTTTGTCAATCATAACAAACTTCGAATTTAATTATTCGTTCTCTTTTTAACAAGGACAATTGTGCCATTGGTTAAATACGTGTTCATCGTGATTAAGGCGGACGATAACGGAGAAGGTGGGACATTAGCTCTTTATTCTTTATTAGCACGGTAAAATTATAAGTTCTATACTTTTTACAATACAGTATATAGAAACTTAATTAATTATTGATTTTCAATTTAAAACAGTCATTCTGGTCTTGCAATTCATGGAGAAACAAGAAAGGATGATTTAAATATTTCAAATTATGACGCGGTCTCTATACGTAGTAATAAAAATAACTTTATTAAGAGAAGCAAAAAAGTTCAAGGCGTTTTGCTGTTTTTAGTCATCTATGGGGCCTCATTAGTATTGGGTGATGGTTTGCTCACTCCTGCAATTTCAGTCCTTTCTGCAGTCGAAGGACTGGAAATTCAAGTACCTAGTATGTCAGCTGCTGTGGTTCCGTTATCCTGGTAATTTTATTAACTTTTCTTTTTAGACGTGAATAATAAAAAACTCAAACATTTCTATTAAAGTGTTATTATAGTGTTACTTTTTATTGGACAACAATACGGTACAGATAAAGTAAGCAAGTGCTTTGCACCAATAATTTTGCTTTGGCTGATATCTATTGCTTCGATCGGTATCTGGAATATAACTGGACGTCCGGAAGTAATAAAAGCATATAGCCCTCATTACATGTTTGACTATTTTACTCGTTCAGGCTTGAAAGGCTTTGAAGTGCTTGGAGGAGTGTTACTTGCACTCACCGGAGCTGAAGCACTTTATGCAGACTTAGGACACTTTAACAAGCGCGCTATTGAATTATCGTTTATCCCATTGGTTTATCCACCACTAGTGCTTGTGTATATGGGACAAGCAGCAAGAATAATTGATGATCCAACAGTTGTCAAAAATACTTTTTGGAAGACAATTCCTCAAACAGGGTTCATCTATTGGTTCATTTTTGTGCTTGCAATTCTTGCTACTATTATTGCATCTCAATCGTTGATTTCTGCTACATTTACGGTGATTCATCAAGCAATGCGATTGGATTGTTTTCCGAAAGTAAAGGTAAAAAAGAATGTGAATTCAAAATTTAATATCGAAAATTACTAAAAGTAAATGTTAAATTTAGATTATTCATACATCTAGTCATCATCGAGGACAAATTTATATTCCAGAGAGTAAATATCAGTTTCAATGTTTACATGTATTAATCATTCTTTACTAATCTAATTTTATTATAATAGTTAATTGGATTTTGATGGTGTTAGTTTTGGCAGTTGTCATTGCCTTCAAACACTCAGCAAATCTAACAACTGCATTTGGTGTCGCTGTCGCGTCTGTGATGCTTATTACCACATTCTTACTTACGGTAAGTATTAAATTATTTATATCTACAATTAATTCCAAAAGACGCTAATTGAAATATATATTAGAATGTGATTCACGTCGTTTGGAAATTTCACCCAGCTTTTTCCATAGCCTTTTTATTGATTTTTGGGTTAATTGATGGCGCATTTTTAAGTTCAACCTTACGAAAAATACCAGACGGTGGTTGGTTTACCTTAGTTTTTGCGGTAGTTGTTGCGAGTGTAATGGGTATTTGGAAATGGGGTACAACTCTTCGGGTAGAATACGAATCGAAAAATAAAACAAAACTTGGTGATTTATTTATGGACGATGAGTATTCGGGAACAACGTCGTCGGAAAATAGTAGTATGCAAATCATCAATGGCAATTCTCAAAATGAAGCCACTACATCAACTGCAATCGCGTCAACCACAATCACGATACAACCACCTCAAAGAATTCAACTGCGATTATTGGAAAGCGGATTAAAAGTTCAACGGTTGCCCGGAATCGGCCTGTTTTATCAAGATTCAGGTCTGGGTATCCCATTGACATTTAGTCACTTTATTCAGCATCTACCAGCTGTTCCGGAAACACTGATCTTTATCTCAATACGACCAGTCGCCGTTCCATATGTAGGTGAGGAAGATCGACTAGTAGTGCATAGAGTCGGGCTCTACGCCGGAATTTACAAAGTTATTGCAAGATACGGGTACATGGAACCTATCTCCCAATCACATGATTTTATCAGAAAACTCATCAAGGTTATTCGTACTATTGATTCCGAACAAGAATCGCTAAAACCGGAAGCACATCCTGAAGATCAAGCTATCACTTATGTTCTTAGTCAACAGAAAATCCTTCCTGGTGCTGGCAATTGGTTGAGGAAAGCGGCGTTACAGTTTTTTGTGTTTTTGATGAATAATTCTAGAGTGCCGTATAGTAACTGGAATATTCCTTCAGGAGATAGTATTGATGTCGGGATGTGTATACCTTTGTAATTTTTACATACTAAACTGTTCAACCATTGTTATCGTTATATATTCGAGTTAACCGTCATCTCAAACGCTTTTGATCGAGATATTTTCCTAATTAACCAAGCACGTACATAAACAACATCGACAATTTTATAAATTCAATAAATTATCAAATACTGTAAATTGTGGTGAAATTTGTTAGGCAACAATTACTAATATAAATTCGGTGAAATTATAGTTTTATCATTTTGAAAAGGAATGCTTCGAGTATATAATAGTATAAAGATTATACATGTATAATTTTTAATAAGACTGTTTTCAAATAATTGTCAGCATGCTAAACTTGCTCTCCTTGTTATAAAGATGTGTTGCCCAAGAATATAATACGTATGCTAGTATTATCTTTATTTTCACATTTATATTGTAAAGGTGCTTTAGTTCATTTATTTCTGCAACAAGGATTTAGTGAGCGGTGAGCTTGTAGTTATTTTTATTCAAGGTAATAAAAAACCATATAATGTATATAATAGAAAAGAAAAAAGTTCTATTAACATGCGATCAATTTATGGATTGCTATTATATCCTAGTTTCCTCCCTAGACATTATTAACGATGACGAGCTCCGTGATTACCATATGAAGTTTCACCTTCTTCTCTACTACGAGAGAGGCCTCTCTTAAATCCTGCCGCTGCCCCAGTTATATCAAACTTCGCTTCTTGGTACGTGAATCCGAAAATCCTAATCACAGTCCGAAACAATTTCCAACCTCCATACGTCAACAATACAAAAGCAAATGCAATAAACGCTGCAAATACTGCAAATCCAATAACTGGCAATACGACACCACAGCCAAGCAAAAAGAAGAAACCTTCAACCACGAGGATTCCACCGCCAGCTATCGAGAAGACGGTCAACGTCGTAGCGGCCAAAAATCCGAGAAAGATAGCGATGGGAATTGCATTCAATATAACCGCAGCGTATATGAACCAAGCGAGAGGTGGAAATTTATCCTGAATCCAGCTAATCCAGCCGGTGACAGGTGAAAATGTTTCTTTGACAGTGGTGAATAACGAACGAGTAGTCTCTTTCGCGGATTCGACTTGGGATGAAATTTGTTCGGCTGCTTGTCCAAACACGTGTTCTGCTTGTTCGACTAAGGGAGTTTCTTGGCTAATAAAAGTATATGGTTCATGTGACATAGTGAATAATGTGCACCTTCAAAGCAAAGTGAAAAAAAATAAAAGGGTAAATATAGTTTTTATTATTATTCAGTGAAATTCAAAGTTGTCAACTTGATTGCTGGTAAATGTAATCACAGTGGTACTTTTATATGTTATTTTCTGTTCACTATGGCTTTAACAATTTGTGTGATTGATTATACGTATAATGCAATCTCACATAGTAATAAATTCAAAATAATATTTATCAAATCGTATTAATCAATCTTTTTATTACTCACCTGTTGGTAGTTGGATAAATTAAACTTTGGAAAAATCGCTCATTATATTATTAATAATTGTATTACATCATCTAAGCATCATGAGAAAATTTTTAACTTAAAATGTCGTAATTTGATATAAATATCTACTACGTTTTTCGGCATAATCGCGTTTAAGTAAACTACTGGTAAATATTTTCAACATTAAAAGTTGCAACTTCCATGATTGTTGCAACTCTGGTGACTCTGGTCACGATTATGTAATAATTATTCACATCATACAAGTGACTCGATATAAGAGTGTCGCCGGGTCCAATTAAACTTTTTCTTATATCGAGAGTTTCTTATAGCACGAAGCTTTGGTTAGAAGGTTCTTATGTTATTTAGTATTACAGTGGCGCTCAAAGTTCTGCATCACGAAAAGTTTTACGAAAAAAAATCTAGCGCCTCTAATATCGATTTAATGCCGGGGTTGGCTAAAGACCGGTGGGTCCGATGATCTGTCCGAGAAACAAGCCAATAAGAATGTGTGAATTTTTGATCAACCCGGAAAAACAAATCCGAAGTACGAACGTAAAAAATGAAAAATAGTGAAAATGTATGCTTTAATCTATCTTGGAGCACTAACTAAAAACGTCGGAGAGGCAATTTTATCTAAACCTAACCCACCACTCTAACCATAACCCTAACCCTAGCCCTAGCGCTAAAAAATCAACCTTTAACACTGTGATAAACACGTTTCACATCGCCACAGGCTTTAGCCACCCCTTAAATGACATTAAAAATATCATTTTTTAGAAATTCGCTGGGTTATTAGTTTTAAAAAGAGTATAGAAACCGGGGACGATATTAGAGGCGCTAGATTTTTTTCGTAAAACTTTTCGTGATGCAAGGGAGCTACTCAAGATTGCGAATACCACCATTCGATTCACCTCATCAAAGTATATATTCCTGTTCTAATCGGATCACTAGGCATCAAGTTCACATATCCAAAAGTAACCATTTGTTTTATAAAAATCAATTGATTGAATTCACGATGCTATTCTTACTAATGGTGGCTGAATAAAGTTTTAATATGTTATATAGAAAAATAGTCAGAGAAAATAAAATTCTAATTCATGAAATGAGGTTTTTCCATTAGATTTTGCATTATTTTATTTTGCAAAGCGTCCGCATATTATTGATAATCCTCTGTAATTCAAAACTTTTCTATAAGAATATGAATGGAGTCAGTAAAAAAGAGACAAATTACTCTAATATATTTGTCTCTTTTTTACTGACTCCATTCATATGTTTATATAAGAATGTATCCATAAGCTTATGTTTATATAGAACGATTAATCTACAGCATAATATATCAAAAAAAATAATAGGATGTTCAACTCTTATATTTCACAAAGTAAAATATGCAAATGAATAAAGACAAATTTAACTATATTTTAGTTTTGATTTAAAACTCAAAATATACAGGAAAAGAAATGACTAAAAATAGAAAAATACCAGACTTTTATATAAGTCGGGTAAATTTTTTCACAGGAACACGACTGCTTAATATATTAGAGATAGTTTTAGTCATTTAAATGATGACAACGAGCAATAATGAATCTTTTAAGCTGATAAAATATATTCTATTATAGAGAAGAGTATCTATACTGTACGCTGTACGCCTAGACTTTTTTTATTGCTATCGCTATCGCTATCTTTTCGTGCAAATTAAATATCATTTATCAGTCAATGAAGTCTATTTGCTCAAAACCTATTAAAAATAATAAGCTACAGAGAAACCTCTCTAAGTGCATTCTCCTTGAGATCATATAAAACAAGGCATAATGTGCACTTGGAGAGGGTGTGCATTTAGAAAGGGTATATAGTGTGCATTTATAGAGGGTGCACTTAGGGAGGTTGTTTTATCCTTTTAACTTGAATAGATAGCTGTATGTAAATAATTTATAAACTACGTAGTGAAAATGGTAAAATTTACAATAATGTAGATCAATCACCATTAGGGCTCTGAACCTAATATCCGTTACATGTACATGTATAATGATAACGGTAACTGTTTTGTGTTTTTACACCAGAAAACATGTACAACGCAGATATTTTTGAACATGATTATCAATATTAGTGCTATGTAGCATTTGCTCATTTTCTACTAGATTTGGTAACTAAAAATTTTCCAGCTAAATACATGTACATGTACATATACGTACGTAGCTAACCAAATATAGTCAAATAAAGAGACAAAAATCGTCGAGAACTTTTTTTAGAGCCCCCAACTCGATATTGTAACTTTCCGTTCATTAAATTTATTTTCTTGATGATTCCCTTCCAATGCTTTATAAATTGCTCCAAAATCTCTTTGCAATATATTTCGAATGTTATTAGAACGGCTAATACCTCTACTTTCGCTAAACCATTAGCTTTATAAATTCAGTACTTAGCTGACAATCAAAACACTTATCGTTATTACAATTATGCATATATGATATGCTTGTGTACTGCACTGCAGCTTAATATCAATCCCCTAATGGTAATTTTAAATACTACGTGACACTAGGACTTCATTAATGGTACATTTAAATGCGACATGACACTAGGACTTCATTCCCCGAAAACCACCCACTTACCTTTGCATTTAAAATGACTATGAAAAAATACATCGTTTTATTATCCTTGATTAGCGCATCATCCGCTTCGACTCTATGCGACGCCATAGTTCATAGTGTCTCACGTATCGCATTCGCAAATTATTTATCCTTCTCCATTGGTTTATTTTTGACCTTTTTCTCGAGTCCTTCCAAAGATGAAACAACCTTCTTCGCTAAACTAAGAAGATTCATAATTCGAACTGCAGTTATACAATTTATGGCAGTGTTGGCCTTAATGACTTACATGACGACCAGATTCTTTACGTTGAATGATAAAGATTTGCCTCGATTGCTTTATTTATGTTCTCTCATAATGTATTCTTTATGTGGTGCAATTTTTTTAACTCAGTTTATATGGAATACATGGTATCGTAGCGCGACTCGAGGTTTTTTCTTCACACCGCTTTATGTTATTCAAATGATTTTTCAAGTCTATTTGAAAATCCATTTCTCATCTACTGGATACATGGTCGTGTTCCAATGGCTTAGTATTCTTTCTATGTTCTTCGCATTTCCGTTATTTTGCATTGTTGCTATCACTTCTAGCTTTAGTAATAAAGAGCATCAAGACATTCAATCTAGCAAATATATATATATTTTTATATACCCTTTTGTATTTCAGATTTATCTGCACGTAGGATATATATGTTTCTTTTTATATTGTGATGAGGGGTTTTTATCATCAACTTTATTGTTCTCCAGTAGTTTCGCTTTGAGTAATGTTCTTCGCAGTGCTTTTTACTTGATTTTTCCAAGAAAGGTATGGGAAGCTGTCCCCACCAAAGATAACGAATATACAAGCACTCAACGCGCGATTTCATCCGATTGGGATTATGCGTACAAGGCCAAGGCGTTGTGCGAATGTACGTTCAAAAAACGTTTTATATTTTCTTCTTTGAGGAAAGAGCTTACAGGAAAAGAGTGAAAAGCAAAGAAGTGTGATTTGAGAGCGATGAAAGTTTACTTACATTCTCTGTATTGTCTATTAGATCAAGCAGATCCAGAAGACCCGAATGAGCTGTCATTTTTCAAGGGAGAAGTATTTGATGTTGTTGATAATAAAGGTCAGTGGTGGATAGCAAGAAAAGCAGATGGCACAGTTGGCATAACCCCAAGCAATTACGTAAGTTTACGATACAAAACAAGCACATTTACTTTTGGGGGTGTGTTTGAGTGTAGTAAACTAATGTTCTTTACATCGTAACTAGTTGCAAATCATCCCGAATAACCAATGATGCCAAGACGTTTTTTATTTACTTTGCAACTCTCAATCTCAATGTAATACAAGGTATAAACGAAAAAATAGATTTTTATTTGTCATGTTTTGGATAATACTGTATGTATGAATTAATGTATTATTTTTTGCATCCTGTTATTGAGAACGATTTTCAGGAGTTCTTTTTTGCTCATTCCTCTGAAAAAGATGACTAAATACACAAACAATTGAATTATACAGTCAAATCTCTCTCTGGCCACCGCGCTTGGTGACTATAGAGAGGCGTGACTATAAAAAATATATTTTAACTCTTTATATGATCACCCAGTTTTAATCTATTAAAAATATCAATTTTATTAAAATTGGATCACTAGAAGTGTAGTAATTCTTATTTAAATAAATTAACTATTTGAGTATATACATGTACTAACTAGGATATTTCTAAGAAAATTTACATATAATTAGAATTAGCAAAACATACCTTAAATTTTCAAAAAATTCTTTTTGTATTTCAAAACTATATATATACATACACCACTCTTTTTGATTATCCTTTTCTATTTTTATAATATTCAGCGAGATTGAACTGTGCTTGAGGCATTCCGGACTCTGCTGCTTGTGTCTATTGATATTATTAATTATCTATTAAACTGCTGTGAATACGTAGGTACCACTTTTTGGGTTCTAAAAGACGGGGGTGGTATTCATTATTTTACTATTTTTGGATCGGCAGTTTACGGTATCAAAGCATTTTAAGATAACGTTTTAAATTTATTTTTTTTTATACATACGGTCAAAACTATTTTGGTCTTGACTCGATTGATTGCGTCAATTGACTCAATAATTTTGACAACATATATGATATTTTTATTATCGTTGGAGTTAATACATATAAAAAATAAATTAAAATTTAATGTACATGTTAAAGTTCCGGCGGAAAGTAATGGCGGTGAGATTGTTATGTAAATTTTACTATATTATTAGCATTTACTATAGAAGCAAAATATATAAATAAAGTGCTAGACTTCTATCAAGAAATAACATTTAAAAAAATAAAAATATAGATTTGCGAAATCTAATAGTAAATGTATTCGTTGTCAAAAAAAAAATGGGTACTGCTTTGGATGTTCAGAATATCACAAACGATTTACAAAGCTGAATGGTCTATAGTGTGCACCATAACGATAATTATCTAAAGTTTGTGATATGCTTTAGGTAGGTGTTTTGGAAGTTTGTTCATTGCTTTTTCTAGTTAAAAGTCTTAAACTCTTAAATATCAATATCAATTATTGCTTTTTCTAGCTAAAAACTTTAAACACTTAAAATGATTATACAAAAATGACTTTTACAATAATACCACCAAAAACAATACCTTTTCTGGTATAAGAAATCTAACTGATTAAACAATATAGTGATTAAAAAGGGAAAGAGTTTTACAAGCATATTTAAGGAAAATAATTGTACGCAAAAATTCAATTTCACTTTGCTTGGAGAAGAAGAATTGTATGCAATTTCAATTCTGACTTTTATTAGTAGCCAAAAGGCCATTATTTTTTACATTTTTTTTTGTTAATTACATTTTTTTATTGTCGATTATACTTTAGCTATTAATAAAAATGTTTATAATAGAACTTTAATATTTATAAAAGAAACTGATGAAAATGAACTGAACACTAAATGAAAATATGCTGAAAAATGATGAGAAGATGCTGTATCCCTTAAACCATTAGGTTTAGCAGCAAATTTGCCAACTAAAATTCCATAAATTTATATCTAATATATTTTTACCAAACATTAAAATATGTTAAAAAAAGTTTGTTTAATCTTAGCTTTAATTATTATATAATATTTCACTTTTAATATAGACAAATCTCCCTAAATGCACCCTTTATAAGTGCACATTCCCTCTAAATGCACAGTATGGCTGGATCTGAGCTCATAAGAGCTCTTTATATTTGCTTCCTATAAATGCATATCCTTTCTAATGCATGCTTTACTATGGTCCCAAGGGGTGCATTTAGGGAGGTTGTCTGTATTATAGTTGTCTATAAGTTAAAAATAAGCAATTTTAAAAAATTTTTATTATTAATCTTAAATTTTAAAAATAAAATTACAGAATTGATTAAAAAATAAATCAAATATTTTGAGCAATTGTAAATCAAAATTACAAATTTTATATTATATTAATTAAAAATATGCTATATTTTTATTTTAGCTTAGAAAAGAGGGGGTTAAGCTTATAAAAATTAGGAGTAGATGTACAAAAATAAGTTAAAAAAAATTTTAGCAGGCAAATTTGCCCACTGGATTATTTAAAGAATAATGATGAGAAGATACTGTGTAATGATAACAAATGCTGAGAAGGGTGTTGAATGCTGAAAGACAATAACAAACGCTACGAATCGTTGAAAAAGGCACGGAGTTTGATGAATACTCGCTACTATAAAATCTATGAATTAGAAAAGCAGAGGCATGTTATTGTTGAAGGTGATTCGTAATTAGACGTAATTGATGATTTTACCTACAACGATGGGTTGGGAGAGAGTGATTAGACTGAGTGGTGTTTATTGATGTCTAATTCCTGTGCAGATATCTACGGATATCGTTAGGCTAATAACGAGAGAGAGAGAAAGAGAGAGACTCGAATGAAATTATTTGGGTAAGGGAAATTGGGGTTTCTTTGGCGGGGATATTCAATTAACAATGTTTATTAATAATAATTTTCTTTTTCTAGCTAAAAGCCTTAAACTATTCTATACAAAGCGCTTTACAATCAATCAATATTCCGTTTTAACTATATCAATGCCTTTTTTTTTTTTTTTAGATCAAAAGGACCTAACCACAATTAATTACAACAATTTTACAAGTCTAATTTATTGATATTTTGAAGACCTTTACTTATACATTTTTTTGTTATATTATTGTTTTTGTTCTTAGAGCTATGCTATTTATTATTTGTTGATGAGATTAAAATAAAAAAAATAAAATAATTAAGGGTGATAAACAAAAGCGAAGTATAGAGCGAATTTTGAAAGCGAATTAATGAGTAAAGACGAAAATAGACTGACAAGCAGAAGCGAATTCGAAAGCGAAATACAGGTGATAAATAAAAGCGAAAAACAGATGGATAAACCGAAGCGAATCTAAAACGAAAAACGGTAATAAACAAAAGCGAAAAACGGATGGATAAACAGAAGCGAATTTAAAAGCGAAACGGGGAAAGAAATCAAAAGTAGGAAAAACTGGATGTTACATGAAGCTCGGATAGACGAAGCAGATTGCCAAAATCGAGATGAATGTGCCTCTCCGGCGGTAACAACACCAAATCTCTTCCCGATCACATTATTCTATCGAATATTCACTTGTGGTTGCGTTTTTAGTTATTCTATTATATTAATCCAGATTGCACTAGAGTGGCCTGAATCTATTTTAGAGAATTAAACAAAAAGCATGACACTTACACTTTGGAATTGTTCATAACATGATTATTCAATTGTCCGCCAATCAGGTTGCTTATTTGTTAACTTTATTTTCATTGGACCATGATAGAAATAATTGAAACACTCATCACAATGACTATTTTCTTGGCAATGAGCACACTTACTAATACATGTACAGTACCCCCAAAAAGTATCGATTAAAAATAAATTCATTTAATATTTAATCGGCCCTCCATTTGACTCCAATACCGCATTAATCCTTCGTGGCATTGATGCAGCAACCCCGTTCTAAAATGGCCACATCAATTTTTTCCCACCCCACCTTTAATGCAACTTTAAGTTCATCTACAGTCTTCGGAAAGATCCCATTTTTTGAATATTGTCCTTTAAATCTTCCAAATGTTCTCTATTGGGTTCAGGTCTGGAGAATTAACTGGCCAGTTAATAATCGCGATTTTCCGTTAACCATTCCTTAATTTTTCCCGCAGTATGAATCGGCGCATTGTCTTGTTAAAAAATTGCGTAACTTCCAGTTAACTCCTTAATTGCGTTCTGGAATGGTAATAAATGAGTTTTTAAGATTTCAAGGTAAGTCTTTGCAGTTATTTTTTCGCCATTTTTTTAATAATGGTCCTTTTAATTTTCCCGCGAAACGCTCCCAAGCCATTACAGATTTTCGTCCACTTTTAAAGGTAAGAGTCAAGCAATTAACATTGAACTTTCTCTAGGATGCCGCCGAACTCTTGGCTGCCGTGACTGCTTTCCAACTTCAACACAGGTTTCATCAGAGAAATTATTTTCACCCAATCATAAGTTGATTTATTTTTATTTTCTTCACATCATTTAATACGAGCATGTGCATGTATTTCCGAGATATAGAATTTCTTTGCTGCGATACATGAGTTAAGTCCGGAGTTATGTAATACATTTGCAGCGGTTGATAAATTACAAGTGAAGCCTAAATTGTTGACTATTTCGCGTAGTGGTGCACGTCTTTTTTCGTTGGCTTCACGTATAAGTAAATCATTTTCTTAGTTGTTAAGGACTGGTGGTCTTCTTGAGCGTGGTAAGTTTTCATTTTGTCCTGTTCGTTTATATATGTTAATAAAGCGACGTATCGTTGTGGGGTCGCGTCCAAGCATTTTTGCAATTTGAGCGGCATTTGTGGCTTCCATGTATGCCAGAATCTTCCCTTTTTCAATTTCGTTAAACTGCATACAGTCGACTTTCGATATAACGACGTGCAGATTCTATTAAATTATATTGTTTACAATAGGATCTGCACGTCGTTATATCGAAAGTCGACTGTATATGACGTCATTTTTTAACCTAACGAAATTATAGCGATAGTGTTATAAATCGATTTTTGAAAAATGGTTACACGCGTAAATCGGCGATATCTCTAATGTTGTGTTCGAATTTGATTGGTCGATTTAACACAAATATATACGTAGCGGTATTGATCAGTACTGCGACCAACTAAGAATTAAAAATTAACAATGACACCAGAGTTATTATTGACTTCATATTCAAATAGACTCGATAAGT